TATTGCTGAAACTCATGGAAAGCCTTTAATGGAAAGCATGAGAAAGCGGCTCAGACTAATTGGCCGGAAAGGTGTTTTGGCCCCTTTTGAATAGTTTAATTAATTTGTTATATAATTGTAATATTTGTTATAAAAAATAAACTTTTTTCGTTCGATAGTTTTTATTTTATGAGGATTTCCCTAAAGTCCGGCTATTTGTCGGACATATAAATATTCATAGCGCTCTAAGAAATTAGCGATTTTTATTCATAAAAAAACAGACATACATGCAGTAAAACTAAAATTATGACCAGGGTAGGTATTTTGCGCAAAATTTATAAATCACACATAAAATTTTAATAAATTTCCAACATTTTGGTGAAGTTTTTGTTAAGCTATCATTATTGTAAATATTTTTAATTTTAATTAAAAGTAGTGCTAATACGATGGGACACCATTTATTATCGCTTTACAAAATAGAGTATGCTAAATGTATATAAACATTGGAAAAATTATTATTCCATATGATTATAATGACAAATGTTGTAATTGTTGTAATTATTATATATCGGATATATAGATTCATGAAGTAATGAATAATATTTGAGCTATGTACAATACTTATATTTTTATGATAATAGATTAAAGCTTACGCAAATTTGTCAAAGATAATTTTTCATTATAATGCAAAGATATTAACCCAATTAATGTGTGAATACAGAATTCCAGATTATCGACAAAATTGTTGGGAAAGGCGTACGGCTAGGGAACGGCAGCTTATAATGGCTATCGTATTACTGTCTGTTCTATCATTAGTCCTATTGATAACTATTATCGTTTTGGCCGTAAAACTACACAACACTTAGGAATCGATTGTCAATATAAATATAATTTTGTTTTTAAAATTTTATTTGTAATGTTATTTATGGACGCTTTAATTATTTAATAAAGTTATGATCAGTTTTAAATGAATTAGCCCCTGGTATTGAACAAAAATTAAAATATCTTTTCAGTAGCATAATGCGTTTATTATTATGTGCTAGTTAATTAAATAATATAGACAATCAAGTTACAATTATGACAATCTATATCGTATGAAAAGTAACAAGTGGTAATTATGTATTATCTAATATATTAATTATAATATTTTTATAATGCATCTATTGCATTATTGTATAAATATTTGCCTTTTAGTGATATATCAATGGCACTGGAAGTGTTCAGGATTAAGACTTATATACTGTATATATTTAAGCCGTAGGTATATTACTGTATTTACTAATTTAAATATACTATTTTGAATTGTGTATTGTATAGTACCGTAGTTTGTTTTATGAAATTTTAACATTTTTATACAAGTAATATTTGATAGAGTATCTTAATAATTTTTATATTTTAATATGGATTTCGAGTATTACTTGTATAAGTAGTAAACAATGCATTCAATTTGTAATTTTATATAATTTTATAATAATCTAGAAGTTAATTATAAAAATAGCATTTTGCAACTAAATTGAAATGTTTTGAAATGATTATCTAAAAATATTTAAAAAATCAATTTAATTTAGATATAAAACCATATTTGCAGTCAATAGTAATTTAGCATATTTTCTGTATTTAATGTATTAACTATCAAACAGTTAATGAATAAAAAGTCATTTTTCATTAAAATAAATGAGTTTATTGTAATTGTTATTTCAAATCCAATTGTCAATATTAACTCATAATAACCCAGGTCTCAATATATAATAGTAATGAAGTGTAATTTGAAAACTAAAACCACGTCAACACATTTGCCGGCCATTAAACACCCTAGTTCATGTTATCGTATTTATAATGTTTATTGTATTTTCTCTGTGGATAAGCGGTCTCTTAAGAAACGAGGAGCCCTTCCCTACCAATGATTCCCCCAATCTATTCATCCAAATGGTTATCATTTGCCTTCAGATGCTATCTCTACTATCATTACCGCAATATTTGTTTCAATTTCTGGGACTTATTGTGTACAACCAGTTCACAGACCCCGTGGTGGCTCTCGAGTACAACCCCCTGACGGCACCATTCATATGCTTCCGAGGGGTCACTCGTGGAGACTATCGGCAATTGGTTCGCAATAATGTCGGAAAGCATTTGAAAGTGTGTTCAGCAGTGGGTCTCCGAAACTATTGCATAGAAGTGGTCACCGAAAAGGGTTTGGGTTTAGATCGCTATAATCACCCGAAAGTCATTGAAACCATAGTTCCCGTTCAGTATACGCCCGCAAACGGAGCTATTTTTAAGGTAACGCAAGGATTAAACAAATAGTTTGTTTAAAATTTACAATTATTAGTCATTTAAACGCAAACTAATTATAAGTATTTCTGTTTTTTATTAACGAAAAATGTTTGGTCCGAAAGGCACGGGCTCTTCAGTACGGCCTGGAGGCCGGACACAACCGGTTGGCGGCGGACGACTGGATCGTCCACTTGGACGAGGAGACGGTGATGACGGAGGCGTCCGTCGCCGGTATCGTGAACTTCGTGTGCGACGGCCGCCACGACTTTGGACAGGGAGTCATCACATACGCCGAGCACCGGATGGTCAACGTATGGACCACTCTTATGGACTCGGGTCGAGTGGCCGACGATTTGGGGAAAATCCGCTTTCAATTCAAATGCCTCCATAAGCCGGTGTTCAGTTGGAAAGGTATGTCAACCGGCCATCATTTTTGGAGTAAAAATGAGCTTTTATTTTGCGCCCAAAATAAAGGCTCGTATTTCGTGTGTCGGGCGGAGGCCGAGCGCCGGCTGTCCTTCGACCACGGGATGGAGGGCTCGATCGCCGAGGACTGCTATTTCGCGCTCAACGCCTACCGGTGCGGCCATACGTTCGACTGGATCGAGGGTCGGATGTGCGAGGAGTCGCCGTTCACTGTCAGCGACTTCATCGCCCAAAGGAAACGCTGGATGCAAGGCATTCATCTGGTGGTCCACTCGTCGGGGCTGCCCTGGGGGTGCAAACTGTGGGTGGCCATGTCCCATTACGCCTGGGTCACGTCCATACTCCATAAGGCGTTGATTGTGGTGCTCTATGTTAAGCCCCATTACTGTAACTATTGGATGTCCGGGTTGAGTGCGTTTGTGAATGCAGTCGTGTTTTATGTGTCTGTTTTCGGTTCGTTAAAGTCGTTTAGTGTCCGGAAAATAGGTGCCAAACGCTATGTGTTATGTTTTGGGGTCTGTGTTAGCCGTACCTATGGCTCTGATTTTCGAGACTATAGCAGTGTTTCTAAGTTTCACCACAAATAAGTATATGTTTTATATAGTTAACAAACAAATTAAATCCTGTTGAACCAAATTATAGATGTCATAATTATGACAGTACAGTATATTGGAGGTCATAAATTATATTTATACTTGTTATCATTGTAAAACAATTACAGCTGTTTAATTAATAGGTTAGTGTTTTGGATTAGTATTATTAAGTTGGTGGTTTAGTTAAGTGTTTTAATTTATTTAATTTTCATCTAAATTTTCAACTAATTTGTTTTCAATCTTTTAATTTATGTAATTTGTATTTTTTAATCAGTGTAATTTACAATAATTTACTTGAGTTACGTAATGTAATGTTTGTAATTTTAATTTTTAAAATCCCTACTAGAATTAAAATTATATATGGACATTTTAATAAATACTTCATATATGCTATAGGAATAAATATATCAGTAAATTTACACCCGCAAACTGGTTTGACTGTCCCCCGCAAACCAGTGCTTATTGTGGCACCGGTTCCGTGCTATACATGCCATCAATACAATAGGTTTTTGTCCATCAAATACAAATATAAATAATTTGTTTAAAATAAATGTTTTTTTTTCAAATATTGCAACATTTTATTGTATTATATTTGAATGAATGAAAACGTCTAAGTGGTTCAGGTATATAAATATTTGTAGTATACTTTGCAATATGCTATTAATAAGCTTTTATATTATTTTTAATTTTAAATTCATTTTAATAAATATACAACATTTATAATAAACAACATGCAAACATTTAATAATTAAATTCTAATTAATGTTTCTAGTTTAAGTTTCTAATGTACGAATAAATTGTATTACAAATATTTACCAATGTCAGTTATTAACTTATGTTTAAAGAATAATGTCGAAAGTGTATGTTAGGTTGCCTAAGCTGGCAACCGGGATATTATGATTGATTCCCATAGGCCTTTTAACCCTGAGTCCGAATATGTAACTTATATTGTCCTGTGACCTCGGGTTCGGCCGCAGTGACCACTTTTATAGAGAATATTTTCGGAAAATAATTCCAACATGTGATATATGAGATCAATGTGGAATTTAACGTAGAATAAGAATATTTTACTCAA